CCCCAAAACCCCAAAACCCCAAAACCCCAAAACCCCAAAACCCCTGGGAAAGATAGCGTCGTTGAAGGAGTTTGAAAAATAAGATTAATTTTAGGCTTTTGAGAAGAAAATTTTAGATATTTATTTTTAAATTATCTATTGTTTTGGATTTTTCTTTAGGTATCATAAATATTAAGATTTAGGCATCTCAGAAAGGCAGGATCGAGCTGTAGACTGCAAAGAGCTTGATTAAAGGTGATACACCCTCATCAAGAACTTTAAAACTCTCTCACTAGCCATCCTTGATTTTCTGTGAACCTCGGTTATTTTCCTTCCGGAAAAATATGCCATAATTATCAAAAATTTATAATAATCATGGCTAATCTAAAATCACCGAGCTCATGTCAGGAAGCAACTTAAAAGCTAACTTCACGGATGAAAACAACCTAAACCTCAAAGCTATTTATTCTGGTAAAAGTCAGGGCAAGAATCACCAACAATTAGAGATGGCTTTGGGTTTCGTTAATCCTAAACACGGGTTATTTAGATTAGAGCCTCCATCCTTCGGTAGGGCCTTACTAGCCTTAACCTTCATGTTAGAGGAGAGATATTAAAGTCTAGCCTTCTGCTGATTGATTCGTTTGAAATTTTTATGCGATAAGCCAAAATTAAAATAACAAATACCTTTGAAATAAGTCTATTGGATGACTGCAAGTGAGGCTTACACCGAGCCAAACTCTCTTTGTTTTTTAACATTGGTGAGTTCCAAAGAATCTTTGGAATCTACAAAACAGCAATTTCCATCTATTTCTTAAAAATTGTCAGAGATTAGGAGACCAATTAGCACTTCTTTTTCATCAATAGACCTGCTCATCATGTTTGAGAATTGAGGAAAACTTGTTGTGAGCAAAGAAAATTCTATGGCTATGCAAGAGTTGAGATTATCCATTCTTCTAGCAACATTTTAGTGTCTCTTATGGCAATTTTACCATCAAAATTCATCATCCAAGTGTAAAACACAGTAAATTTCCTCTAAAACCCCCTTGGATGGCCCTGAATTTTTGGTAAAATTTAATTAAATTTCTTAAAACTATTAATTTCTCCACCAATCATATTTATAAGTGATTAATCAAGATAAGTCACTCATTAAAGAAGGATCCTCATAAATATATCGCTTTAAGTTTAAGTGAATTTTAATAATATTTTCGAAAATCAGAGATGGAAGAAGACAAAGAACAAAATAGTAAGAAACGATATTTTTTATTGCTTCAAAGCTTCTAGAGCATCATATTTATTCATTCATGCCATAATTAGCCATATTTTACCTACAAAAAACTAGGAGCTTGCCTTTAAGGGATAGATGGACAATATGGCAAGGTTTTACGGGTGCTCCAGCATGAAAAATCTCAAAACTTCCAAAAATTAGCATGTACCATAACCCCCGTTAAAATTATCAACAACCCTAAATTCCTTGTTTTAAGACCTATTAGCTTCATCTTCTAATTTTCTGAGCTTCTCCACTAAATATCAGAAAGCAAATTTTTGTACTATCCCTCTGTGAAGCACCAAGTCATCGAAATTTTGATCATAATTATTGAAAATCCCCTCCATTTTGCCAAATCCTGAGATAAGTAGCCGCATAGGGTTGTATAGGACGATATATCTCTTTTTAGGATATAATAAAACTTATGGCAAATTGCTTATCCAGAACTTTCCGGAAAATATTTCGGATTTTAACTAATTATTAACATTTTCAAACAAAGATGCTTAATCTACCAATAGCCCCAATGAGGAGAAAACTACGCAAGAGAGACCTGAAAAGGCATTATTACAAAGACCGCGAAACCCAATATAATAGAGTATTAGTAAAAAAGCCTAACTAACTTATAGAACAAGCAAAGCCATGCCGATTACATCAGCTCAGTAATTAGTGAAGATAAATGGACACAGCAAGAACATCAGCTTTTCATTGATGGTGAGAATTCGAATCATATTCTAGGCATCATGAAGTATGGCAAAGACTGGGAGAAAATAGAGAGATCCTTACAGACCCGTACAGCTTCTGATATCAAGACTTATGCTGACAAATATCTCGAGAGGATTAAGAGAGAATACAATACAAAATAATCCTCTAGAGTATGTCTCTCTTGATCCGAATTTACACAAAAGTAAGCTTGTAGTAAAATCCTTGTTTGTTCAAAATGGTCTAACTCCTGATAGACAATATATTCTTGGAGCCATCAATAAGCCAGAAGAAGTCCCAAATGATCACTAAGAGCACTAATAATCGGTCCTTCTCTCAGGCTCAGCCGCAAGATTTTGAAATGAGCAAACTAGGACAAGGAGATACAAATAATGTAGAAAGACCTGAAGGTAAACATGGGAGATCAGATCCAACTACGATGATTATTAAGAAGCTAAATATCAATGAAAATTCTATAAACAGGACTTCAGAAGAGAGAAATGATGAGGATATCAGCTTTGTCAAGAACTATCTCAAGAGTAAAAGTGAAGTCACACCGGAAACGTCCACTAATACAGGAACTAGCTTTATCTGCCTTGATAAAGGCCAGCTTACTATTAAGCAACACCAGATCGAAACAACTGTTCAATGACGAATTGAGACCATCCAGCTTGATAAGTACTTTAAAAGTGTAATGTTTAGTGGAAAAACTACAACGATGATTATCCCAAGCAAGCCGGTGAAGCTAAGAATAGAACCAATTACCCTTGATACTGCAATGGTATTGGATGATAAGAGTAAAGCACTGGTACCAAAGACAGATACATCTCCAGAAGATCCTAAATAACTGCTCAGAGTGTTCTTCGAGCGGAAATACTCTCTACCAACAAGTCATGGGCATCATAGAGAAAAGGTACTGACTACGAGACATTTATGATAACTGAGGGATGAGTGCAGAATGACCTATGAGCTCCTTTAATAGCAATGAAAGAGGGCAGAACATTGAGCGGAATGGCAGCTTCCAGTCATCCTCCTCAAACCAAGTAGACCAGGTGCAAAATGATCAAGACAGTGACAACAACTCTCAACCTGTTGAGCATAATGATAATAATAACGATTGGTTTGGGAATGTAATATTAAAATCAAAAAGATCGTAAGCATAGCAGAGGAATATCAACTATATATTCATCCAAGTATATTCCTAATGGACCCTAACACACATAAATTAAGCTAGCTTCCAAAGTTAGCATTATCAATCTTTGTGTTCAATATCTGTGTTGATTATTGGGGTTTTGGGGTTTTGGGGTTTTGGGG